TAATCTAAACACTAATAAACCATCAGATCAATCTGATCTCTGATCAATCCTCCCTCTGAATCCTTCCATTGTTCTCCATCAGAGCCAAAGCTCCTCAGGTAGCTGCTCACCTGGATGCAGCTACTGATGGACCTGATTGTCTCCACACCTGATCACCTTCAATAATCAAACCTGTTGATTATTTTTAATCACCAGGTTGGAGTTAATCTGCTGATCCAACCTGTTTTCTCTTTTATTGAGAATGAAATTACTCCATAGATGCATTCAGAGCGATGAGTTACATCTTTATGAGACAAAAACTGAGGAAAAGTATTATTTACGTTCTAGTGAGGTTTTCACATCCTTTAACTTTTATTTTCTTTATTTTGTGTGTGTTTTAGCTTATTGTCTGAGGATAAATATAGTTCAGTTTCATCATTTATGTTTAAGCAATAAAATATTAAAATCATGAAAAACATGGAGTTTGATGCTTCTTGGTCTAAATAACTGAATGTCGTCAGATTTCAGTATTTAGTGAGTTTTGACTCTTTGTGGTTTGATATTGTCCACAGAAAAAGTTTTTGTGGCTGCTTCACATTTTCACGCCAGTGAAAAAGTGTCGGTATATTTATGCAAACCTTGACGCAAAGTTAATTTTTATACATGTCGCATAAAATATGGGACCAGACATTTTTTGTTCACACGATTTATGAGGCTCCAGAACACAAACTGCTACAGAGAAGCAGAAGGTTAAAGTTCTGGATCATCAACCTGGATCACATGGGCCCAGTATATAGACTGGTCCCAGTGTTCCCAGTGTATAGACGGGTCCCAGTGTTCCCAGTATATAGACCGGTCCCAGTGTTCCCAGTATATAGACCGGTCCCAGTGTTCCCAGCATATAGACCGGTCCCAGTGTTCCCAGCATATAAATTGGTCCCAGTGTTCTCAGTATATAAATTGGTCCCAGTGTTCCCAGTATATAGACTGGTCCCAGTGTTCCCAGTATATAAACTGGGCCCAGTGTTCCCAGTATATAGACTGGTCCCAGTGTTCCCAGTATATAGACTGGTCCCAGTAAAGAAGTTTCCTCTCTCAGTGGGTTTATCTCTCTAAAGTTCTGGTTGTTTCTGTTTCCATGGATCGTTTCCATCCATCTCTGACTCACTGAAGCCTCATTAAAACTCCTCTGATTGGCTGACATTCCTCATGTCTACTCAGCTTTAAGTTGGCAGAAAAATTAAGTTTCTTTTTATTTATTTGCTGAAGATAAACAAGTTAATATTAAATAAATCTGTGTGGAGTCACATGAATCAGTTAGAAACTGGTTTCTTACTCTGATGGTTCTGGTTCAGTACTGAAGACTGGAGGTTCTCCTTTGGACC